AGTCGCACAACCCACGCCTTGCCGATTTGCCCAGCACGCGGACACACTTGGGCGGCTGCGTTGCGTATGTCTCCGCGGTGCCACTTCCCACATGTATGATTGCTGCAGCAAGTTGTTTACGGTGTGAGTTACAAGCACGCTGTCAGGCTACACCTTCAGGCTCGTTGCCAGCAGTAACCACACACTATTCCTGTGTGTTAAGAATAGCAGAGGAACGCTAAGAACCCTGCAGTAATATTGTACGCCTATAGAAACCATCTTGTAGCTGATGCAAACATAACCAGTAGTCATCCCCTGATGAAATCTCCACAACTTAACTAGGTCTTCCTAAACGCCATGCTTCCATGAGGTTATACCTATCCAGGGCCCTAGCTAGGATTTTTTTTTCCTGTTTAGCCAAACAATTAGCAGAATTCAATTGTCAATAAGCCAATTTGGATTCCTGTTAGCACATCTGTAGCCTAACATTTTTCTGCAACTAGCAATTTAAAGGCAAGTAGATAACATTTTTTCTTTCTTTATTTTTTTCACAAACTTTTATAGATGATAAGTGCAAAACTACACGTTATTAATGCAACAAACCTATTATCACGCAGCTCTGTCTATGACTTGAGACACTAAACAGCTATGATTCACCACATGACCTCGAGTCTCTGACTGACTGACAGGAGACATTCAATTGTCGAAATTTTTCTTTCACTGCAGGCAGGAAAAAGCTTTTTTGGCACATCACTAGGACATTAGCACTTTCAAAGTCAAACATCTCTTCTTCTGGGCCTTCAATTTTTGATGGGTTAGAATGTCACAAACACTTTCTGTTTTCACGGTGTATTTCTCAGAGCTGTTTAACCAATTATGTCTGCCTAAAACCCTCTCCACTTCAACTGTTGCTAGATAGGTAGGGTCTAAACTACCATTTTTACAGTATCTGACCACAATACGCACGCACGCGCAACGCACGTACGCCACGGGACACACGGCGCGCAGCTACAGTATAGACAGTTACTATACCAACACGTATAGCTTTACAGTAATACTAATAATTTACAGAAGATTTTTTCCACGTCATATGCATATACTCTCACTCACTTTTTAACTTCGGGATGCCTAATTGAACCAGAAAAGTTAGCTACTTCATAAAACTCTGACTATATCCCAAGTTCAGCGTACTTTATGCAGTGTTTTTACTACTTTTGACTAGTACCTCACACACAGTACACACACACACACACGCACACGCACGCGCACGCGCACGCGCACGCTGCCATACGCGCAGCGCTATGCGCGCGCCGCACGCCCGTCAGGCACGCGGGCTCGTCGCGCCAGAGTCTCCTCAGGCGTTCTCTCGTCAGTCTGGATGTCCTGGCGCTTTGGCGCACGGCACGCACGCTTCCACGCCTACGCACGCACGCGACGCACGCACCACGCCGCACGCTACGCTACGCACGCACGCACGCACGCACCAACGACGCTACGCAGCACGCACTACGCCACGCACGCCGCACGCACGCACGCACGACGCTACGCAACGCACGCACGACGCAGCACGCACGCCGGCACGCAACTGCACGCACGCACTGCCACGCACGCACGCACGCCCGCCGGCCGCACGCACGCACGCCGCACGCGACTGGCACGACGCACTTCGACGCACGCACGCACGCACGCACGCTACGCACGCACGCACGCCGCACGCCGCACGCACGCACGCACGCACGGCCGCACGCACGCACGCACTGCACGCACGCACGCACGCACGCACGCACGCAGCGCGCGCAAACGCCGCCGCACGCACGCACGCACGCCGCACGCACGCACGCCGCATCGCGGGACGCTACGCACGCCACGCACGCACGCACGCACGCGACGCACGCACGCACGCACGCACTCACGACGCGACGCACGCACGCAACGCACGCACGCACCACGCACGCACGCCGCACGCACGCACGCCTCGCACGCACGCACGCACGACGCACGCACGCACGCACGCACGCACGCGACGCGACCGCACGCACGCACGCACGCACGCACGCCGCCACGCCCGCACGCACGCACGGCCGCCACTGCACGCACGCACGCACGCACGCACGCACGCACCACGCACGCTACGCACGCACGCACGCACGCAGGGGCACGCCGCACGCACGCACGCACGCACGCACGCACGCACGCACGCACGCACGACGCACGCAGCCACGGCACGCACGCAGCACGCCGCACGCACGCACGCACGCGACGCACGCACGACGCACGAACGCACGCCGACGCCACGCACGCACGCACGCAACACGCACGCACGCACGCACGACGCACGCTACGCACGCAGCGCCGCACGACGCACGCACGCACGCACGCACGCACGCACGCACGCACGCACGCACGCACACACAACCACAACCACACACACACACACACACTACACACACACACAACACACACACACACACACACAACACACACACACACCACACACACACACACACCACACACCACACCACACACACACACACACACACACACACACACACACACACACCTACACGCACGCACACGCACGCACCACAGGTGCACGCCACAGGCGTGCGTAAATGAAATCATTTACTTTTGCCCAGCGTCAATTGCGTGCATGCCATTGTGTTTGGATAGGACTTTTTTAAACGCCGAGTGGCTTTCTTCTGAGGGAATATTAGACAACGGTTGTGTAATGCGCCAGTTTGTTGGGAAAAACGCACATGATGATTCAAAAGGCGTTGCCATAGGCCACGATGGATTCTGCGGCGAGACGCCGGGGATGAGAGGTAGGAGCGGTTCTGGAGGGACTTCCCCAGCAAAATTTAAAACATTTGAATGTCTTAAGACTGCAGTTTGTGGCATCCCCGAAAATAAAATTTCACCCTTTAGTTATAAATCTTCTCTTTAGCACCTACTGACCTACTGCCGCATTTTCGCAGGAGACTCACGGCATCTGGCCATTCTTTCCCGCGCTCCCGCATTGCCCTACGATTCTCTGCATTCATGCCAAAAAAACAACATACAAAAAAGCCGCCGCGAACACCCCTGTTACGCCATCGTCCGTGGCTGTGCACATCGTGCGCTCGTGCTTGCTGGCTGGGCGGCATTATTGAAGTACGGGGAGGGGCCGCGAATGCACCTGATTGTTACAGTCGTGTGGGTGTGGTTATTGCTGTATCTATGTTAGGGTGTGGGCAACCGCGCTTGGTATGGACGGGAGCCGACAACAAAACCTTATCCCGGGAATCGAGGAAAAAGCTGTAATCTCGGGAAATGACACAGGGGAGTGTGCCGGCACGAAAAAGAAATGTTGCTGTGTCGATCAATCAAATAGGGATCGCATGTTTGCTGGGTCATGTTTATTTATGGTAAAATTATCGTTCGTTCACTTTTTCCGCCCAAAATAAGACTTTTCAATCGCCAGACTATAATTTGTGTCGAGCAATTGGCGACATTGCGCGTGTGGGTAGGAGGGCCCTGCCTTCATCCCCCACCACTTACCAAGTCTACCTAATATTCCACATCCGACCATACGTCTTACCTGTCGTCTACCATATGTCTTACCTGTGCCTCTAACTGCCTTACATGGGTCTACTAATATTCCCCACATCCTACCCTACGTCTACCTGTAATCCTAACTGCTGTACCCGGTGCTTACCTGATCATTCCCCATCACTACCCGTACGTTACCTGTACCTCTAACTGCTTACCCTGGGTCTTATCTGATATTCTCCAACATCCTTACCATAATCTACCTCGTCTTCTAACTGCTACCCTGGGTCTACCTGATATTCCACATCCTTACCACTATCTACTCTGTCCTCCTAACGTGCTTACCCTGGGTTACCTATATTCCACATCCTACCCTCAGTCTACTGTCAATCCTAACTGTTTACCTGGGTCTACCTGATGATTCTCCACATCCTTACCTAGGTCTGACCTGTCCTCCTAAACTGCTTACCCTGGGTCTACCTGATATTCCCACATCCTACCATACTCATCTACCTGTCCTCCTAACTTGGATACTTACCCTGGGTCTACCTGATATTCCGCACAATCTAACCATAGTTTCTACCTGTCCTCCTAACTGTTACCCTGGGTCTACTGATATTCCCACATCCTACCATACGTCTACCTGTCGCTCTCCATACATCTACATGTCCTCTAAAACTGCTACCCTGCGGTCTACCTAGTATTCCTAACATCCTACCATATGTCTTACACTGTCCTCTACAACTGCTTCCTGGATGTCTACCTGATATTCCACATGCCTACCATACAGTCTACCTGGTCCTCCTAACTGCTTACCCTGAGTCTACCTGATTATTCCCACATTCTACCATACATCTACCTTGTCCTTCCTAACTGCTTACCCTGGCGGTCTCCTGATATTCCCAATATCCTACCCTACATCTACTAGTCCTCCTAACTGCCTTACCCTGGGTCTTACCTGATATTCCAAGCCTACCATAAATTACCTGTCCTCCTTACACTGGCTTACCCTGGGTCTACCTGATATTCCCACTCCTACCATACGGGTCTACCTGTCCTCCTAACTGTTCCCGGGTCTACCTGCATATTTCCCATATCCTACCCTAGCATCTACTGTCCTCCTAACTGCTTACCTTGGGTCTACCTGAATATTCCACATTCCTACCAACATGTACCTGTCTTCCTAACTGTTTACTGGGGTCTACCTGATATTCCACATCCTACCCAATCTCACCTGTCTCCCTAACTGGCTTACCCTGGATTCTACCTGATATTCCACATCTACGCCCTACGTCTACCTGTCGTTCTACATAGTCTACTGTTCCTCCTAACTGCTTACCCTGCGTTCTACCTGATATTCTCCACATCCCTACCATACAATTGTACCTGTTTCTACACTGCCTTACCCTGGGTCTTACCTGATTTTCCCACATCCTTACCCTACATGTTACCTGGTCTTCCTAACTGGTTACCCTGGCGTCTACCTTGATATTCCCACATCCCTTACCCTCATCTACCCCCCCATGTCCTCCTACTGCTTCCTGGCGTCTACCTCTATATTCCACATTCTACCTACATCTACTGATCTCCTAACTGCTTTACCTGGGTCTACCTGATATTTCCACATTCCTACCAGTACGTCTACCTGTCCTTCCTAACTGCTTACCCTGCGTCTTCTACCTTGCTTTCCCACATCCTACCTACAACGTCTACCTGTCCTCCTAACTGCTTACCCTGGGTCTACCTGATATTCCCACATCCTACCATACATCTACCTGTCCTCCTAACTGCTTACCCTGGGTCTACCTGATATTCCCACATCCTACCCTACGTCTACCTGTCGTCTATCATACGTCTACTTGTCCTCCTAACTGCTTACCCTGGGTCTGCCTCGTCCAGCGAAGCCTATGGGCATGGAAGCATCTGCAGTATCGTCTCCCGGACCAGGAAGACTGTTCGTGCTGCTGCTCTGGCTGCTCGCACTAACGATGCTGCTCGGAATGCTCTGCGCACTCGACACACTGTTTGACTTGCTGCTGTCGCTAACCATCTGATCGTCCTCCTATAACCACGGTAACGAGAAACGTGAGGCCTCGCCGCGTCGCCTTCACTTCATCGTTACATCGTATTTACACAACCGTTACATCATCATTACATCAGAGTTACATCATTGCATAATAGTTACATCATCGGTACATCATCATTATATCATAGTTACATCATCGCTACACCATAATTACAACATCGTTATTTTGTAGCTACGTCATCGTTATGAATTGTCGTACAACTTGTAGTGGTCAATACGCACCATGTTCAAAGTCAGCTAATACAAAAGCTGCAGACTCTAGCAGTAATTTGAACAACAGGGTTTAGACTCAGTAATTAGAAGAACTCTAGCCAGTTGCCCGGCAACGCCGACTCACCAACGAATCCTCCTCATGCTCCTCCTTTAGCAATTCGTGATTATCCTGTGGATCAGTCATGAGGATTTTCCTAATTTTCCTATACTGTAAGTTGTCGAGTTCTCTAACGGCCGCCTTCGTCCGATGAATCAGGTCTAGTAACACGCCTATAGACCTGAGCTTCTTTAGAAATTTACTCTGAAAGAAAATGCGAGGGAACGTCGAATTGGAAACCTTGTGAATGGCAATGTTACGAGCTCGTACGCTGACTTCATAGGCAAACGCAACAACAGACGCGCACGCGCACGCGCACGCACACACAATCAGACATGATGAACAGAAACACGCATACATACAGAGAGGCGGAGAAGACTTACATTTAGCAGGTCCTGTGCCGTTGCTCTATCACGGGGTTGCTTGTGTAAGCAGGACTGTACAAACTCCCGAAACTCATCTGACCTGAAAACAGAATCGAATCAGATTACCAGTCAAACCCCTGGCTGCGGCGGCGCAGACAGCTGACGGTGGTACCACACCTGTGTACAGTTTCATCTGGGTAATTGTGTCTAGTACCTGATCATTTACTTCGTAAAAAAAACTAGCCAGTATGTGAATTTTGGCCACAGTGGCTTTTGGTGAAATCCCTAGAATGAGATACAGTTTTGATTAAAAAATGTTCGTTATTGTGAAAATATAGCCTAGTTGTGGAAATTTCTGCTTGCGAATTTTGAATTTTAACCTCTGTTTCTATTGTGAATAAGTTAGCCTTGCCTACAAACCACCCAGGGGCCATGCCACAAAGGGGCAGTCAAGCAGTTCTACAAGACAAGTCTAAAATGTCACTTTCAAAACACTTTTGTATCTTTTAATAAAAACTGAAGTTGAGACATTTTTTTACCTATGAAAGTCATAACTACTCGATTATACGTGTACTTACTTTATGCACTATAATACGTGATTTTCTGACAGCCCCCTTGATGTATCTCTCCTTAGTGTAACTTGAACACTTACCAGTTGCCATCAGGGCTGAGGTTGGGCGAGTCGTTCTGAGCTATGTGGTACAAGGCACTCATGGCATTCATGTTAAAGTATGGAGGCTTCCGTTCGGCTGTCGACAACAAAAACAGCAACATAGTTACGATCTGCACCACAAGGTGGCACCAGCATAGCTCGGCTCATCATATGCCTATAACGTAGCCCATTACGCAGTAACGTGGCAAGAACACTTTTTAATCAACAGCGCGGCTTACCGACCTTAATTTATCTTTCGGAAGCAAGTTAATTTTACACACTGTACTTTCGTATCAACGCTGCATCTTTGCACTATCATGCCTTCGGGGAAACAGACGCGTTCTAGAATCGACACGAGAACCTACCCAATTCAATGCAGGTGATTCCTATTGACCAGATGTCCACTTTGCCATCATACTGGCCTTCCTCCATGGCCAAGATCACCTCGGGGGCCATCCAGTACGGAGTACCCACAAATGAGTTTGCCGGACATCTCATCGACCCGGATCCAAAGTCACCTGTGACAACAACAACAATAAAGATTACGCACGTGAATCTTCAGGAAGCCAGTGCCAGTGTTTCCACCGATGCACTACTGAACCTATTTGGAGAGATTCCGACGAACTGGGACATTTAGACTCGAACGAAATCGCGCGTAAACGTCCGTTTTACAATCCTTCCCACGGTTAAATTGACTACGTCACGAATTTTCTATGGTGTACATTTGTAAAATTTTTGTTGCCATTTTTTACAATAAAAGTAAGTACTAATGTCAAATTCTTACCTGATAAGATTGTTTCTCAACTAGTTAAAAATCCAAAAAACCGGGACGACTTGTTATTATGATCCTGACATTAATTGCTTGCTATTATGGGCTATGTATGAGTCACGAGTGTATGTTTACATCGAACAATATAGTAAAATAGGAAGTATAATGCAGCAATTTAACCATAAAAAGTGAACAGAATTACATACATTTTGTGGAAAAGTGGAAATGTTTTTTTTACTTTTACTATTTACGGTGACGTAATCACTTTAAGAATTACGTATGCATCTGAGCAAGATGACCACCCCCTCACCTTCCTCGTTCGCCCCCCGCCCCCGCCACAGCCGCTGCAATGTACCTAGCTTGACGGTTCCCGACTCGGTGAGCAGGATGTTGCCGGCCTTGATGTCCCTGTGGATGCGGTCGTTGATGTGCAGGAAGGTGAGGCCCTCGAGCGCTCCCTCGCAGATCGCGCCGATCTCATCCTCCATTAAAGGTTTCTTGTGCACCTCGAGCAGGTCGGACGCAGAGCCAATACAGTACTCCATCACCAGCTGTAACACGGAGCACGTTGTCATAGATGCACGCAACGTTCTAACGTGTACTCCATCACCAGCTGTAACACGTACGCAGGCAGCGTTGTAACATGTATGCATGCAACGTTGTGTTGTACGCATGCAACGTTGTCATGTATGCATGCAACGTTGTAACATGTACGCAAGCAACGCTGTAACACGTACGCATGCAACGTTGTTACATGTACGCAAGCAACGCTGTAACACGTACGCATGCAACGCTGTAACACGTACGCATGCAACGCTGTAACACGCTACGCATGCCAACGACGTGTTACATTGTACGCAGTTGCAACGTTGTTACATGCTACGCAAGCAACGCTGTAACACGTACGGCATTGCAACGCCTAGATAACACGTACGCATGCAACGCTGTAACACGTACGCATGCAACGGTGTTACATGTACGCATGCAACGTTGTTACATGTACGCAAGCAACGCTGTAACACGTACGCATGCAACATGTTACATGTACGTAGCAACGCATTGTAACACGTACGCTGCAACGTTCGCTTACATGTACGCAAGCAACGCTGTAACACGCTACGGCATACAACGTTGTTACATGTACACAGGCAGCGTGTAACATGTACACAGCAGCGTTGTCATGTATGCATGCAACATTGTAACACGTACGCAAGCAACATTGTAACATGTACGCAGGCAGTGTTGAAACGTGTATGCAGGCAACGTTGTAACATGTACGCTCGCAGCCTTGTAACATGTACGCAGGCAGTGTTGTAACGTGTATGCAGGCAACGTTGTAACATGTTACGCGAACGCAGCCTTGTACTATTGTACGCAGCGCTCAGTGTTTGTAAACGTCGTGATGAGGCACATTTGTAAATGTCACGCGACGCGCCTTGCTAAATATGTACGCAGGCAGTGTATGTAACGTGTATTGCACCGCAACGTTGTAACATTACGCACGCAGGCCTTGTAACATGTACGCTACGGCAGCGTTTTAACGTGTATGGCAGGCCAACATATGACTAACATGTACGCACGCAGCCTTGTAACATGCTACGCAGGCAGCGTGGTACGTGTACGCAGGCAGCGATTGTAACATGCTTACGCACGCAGCCTTGTAACATGTACGCAGGCAGTGTTGTAACGTGTATGCAGGCAACGTTGTAACATGTACGCACGCAGCCTTGTAACATGTACGCAGGCAGTGTTGTAACGTGTATGCAGGCAACGTTTGTACATGTTACGCCACGCAGCCTATGTAACAATGTACGCCAGGCAGTGTTTAGTAACGTGTTGCAGCAACGTGATGTAACATGTACGGCACGCAGCCGTTGTAAAACATGTACGCATAGCAGCGTTGTAACGTTGTATGGCAGGAACATTGTCAACATGTTACGCACGCAGCCTTGTAACATCCGTACGCAGGCGCAGCGTTGTACGTGTACCCCGATGGCGCGTTGATAACATGTACGCACGCAGCCTTCTTAATGCGCTACGCACGGGCAGCTGTTGCTACACGTGGTAATGGCAGGCAACATCTGAACATGTACGCACGCAGCCTCTATGCTAACACTGTAGCGCATGGCAGGTGATTTGTACGTTGTACGTCAGCGGCAACATTGTAACATGTACGACACGCAGCTTGTAACATGTACGGCAGGCAGCCGTTTTGTAACGTGTACGCAGCAGCGTCTGTAACGTGTAATGCAGGCCCACATTGTAACATGTACGCAGGCAGCGTTGTAACATGTACGCAGGCAGCGTTGTAACGTGTACGCAGGCAGCGTTGTAACGTGTATGCAGGCAACATTGTAACATGTACGCACGCAGCCTTGTAACATGTACGCAGGCAGCGTTGTAACGTGTACGCAGGCAGCGTTGTCATGTATGCACGCAACATTGTAACGTGTACGCAAGCAATGCTGTAACGTGTATGCAAGCAACGTTGTAACATGTATGCAGATAACATTGTCATGTATGCACGTTACGTTGTTACGCACACTGGCACAACGCTGTACGTGTAAGGATTTATACACCAAAGCAAAACACATTTTAAAGACTTTTACATTTTTAAGGTCCATTTCCCAAAACTCCACTAAAATAAGATTTAAGCCACACACAATTTTTTACTTTCCAATTAATAATTTATTAGTGACTGTCGACAATTTCCAGGATTTCCCAGCATCAACAAAACACAATAACAGCCCATTATCCAAACCTTTCAAGACCTGTAAAATTGCATGTTATAAGTGATGCATACACGCGTTTTACGTATGCACATAATGTGATCTGCACACATGCCTGAAACGTATGTACACTTGCAAGTTGTAAACATGCTTGCAAATTGTACATGTATGTAGACACCATTCTATGTAGTATGTACGTATATATACAGGGAAATGCTCTCTCTACACCATCCTTAAATTGACTACGTCACGAATTGTCCTTGGTGCACATTTGTAAAAATTTTGTTGCAATTTTTTTACATTAAAAGCAAGTACTACTGTACTAACGGGACTAAATGTATCCTCAAATTCTTACCTGATAAGATTGTTTCTCAACTAGTTAAAAATTCAAAAAACCTGGGCGATTTGATATATTGATCACGACATTAAATGTTTGCTAGGGGCTATATATGAGTCACGAGTGTTTGTTCACATCGAACGGAATAGCAAAATAGGAAGTATAATGCAGCAATTTAACCAGAAAAAGTGAGCAGAATCACTTACATTTTGTGAAAAAGTGGACATAATTTTTTAACTTTTACTGTTTGCGGTTACGTAATCACTTTAAGTGACCGGAGGTATTGCCACTTCTGCATTCCCACCATCGTTCAGCAACTCCTCGTCTGCCCAAACATCACTGACCAGTCGTAGTAATTGCACAGACTGATTTCGCTTCATGTGTTTACTACAAGCACGCGACTACATTACACGTACTGCTGACGCACGGCGATGTAATGCAGGGAGGGAGGGTCACAGTGAACAACGTATGCAACACGTGTGAAACAGGCTATTAGCCAGGAATGAGTATTGTGGGAGTGCAGAACAAATATTTGTGAGTGCAATTTTACAAATGTACACGGCTTTAGATCAATATTTTAGGCCATGCTACACATTTTTGGCCGTGCAGTTTCAAAAGTGACCGTGCAAATCACGGCTGCACGGTTCGCTGGCTAATACGTTGGTGTAAAAATACTACATCTCAATAACACAAGTGCTTGCACATAGATACACGTCACAGGGGTAGAAATTAACTTTTGAACAAGCGAGTCCAACGGACTGGACTCCCTACCCTCAAAAAGAGGGAGTCCGTAGCAAAATGAGGGCGTCCGCAGTATGAAGTTCAAAACAAAAAATATTAACAAAAAGGACATTTGCAGTGCACGTCTGCCAAATTTTCTTGGGAAATTTGCTAAATAAATATGGTAATTCCGCGAGGCCGTGCTCTGGAAAGAGCTAGTTAGTATAGCAGAATTTTCAGGGAGTCACACGGATTCCTGCACGTATATTAAATCAGGGAGTCCGACAGTAAATCAGGGAGTATTTGACTTCGGACTCGTGTTAATTTCGCACCCTGACGTCACGTAGGGAAGCTTACCCAAGCTTGTGGTTCCCTTGGGTGGAGGTAGCAGCCTTTGTACTCAACTACATTCTTGTGTCTCACCTGGCGGACAAACTTCACCTCTTTGACGATGTCTAGCCATTTCTGGAATGCACAATGGAAGAGCGTGTGATTAAAAATAGCCAACAGAAGCTTTCTTGCAATTTAGCAAGCAGGCACCATGTTGTAAGAAGATTCACGTATTTACACAACTCTTGCGGCACAAGCACCAGTGTTTTAACGCAGTTGCCTTGCAATACACACACCGCAATATATGACAAAAAAGAGAGCAATTACAAAATATCAAACAAACGTACCTCTGATGAGTTTTTGCCCTGGTACGACATCTTTTTAACTGCCACAACTTCCCGCGTGTTGATGTATCTTGCCTGAAACACGCACGAATATAACATGTATAGCTGACAAGGCAAATTCACGTAAGAAAGCAACAGCTTCAGGGGAGCAGTGCAACAAACAGGGCTATTAAACGAGCCACATAAGAGGTTAGACGACATTTATCGTTACTCGCGTGACTAGATACACGCCGAGGGGAGCATTACGCACGCGCGCGCATCACATAAACACAACGTAACGACGCTCGTGACACAGACACCATCAACACGAGAAGCCCTGCATCATGTAGACGTGAAAGCAGTACGCTGCGGACGCAGCGGAGTGAGGGGCGTGGCAGAAACCAGCTCTTCACGACTCCTCAGACAACGCCTCATCTCTGTGCTATGCAAGGCACTAACGATCTCGCTACCTACACAGCGGTGAACACAGTGCACCTCCAACGTGCGGAACATAAAGGCCCGCTGATGTCGACCTTACGACCTAGTCGCCGACAAGATTTGAATATCGTACGTCAAAAACCGGCCAGATCGCCGATAAAATCATCGGCGACCAAACTCGACATGAGTTCTCTTACGATCGAAAATACGGTCGCCGACTGCGATCGCAGGAATAGAACATGTTCTATTTCTATGCGGCTGTCGGCGACAAATCGTGAGTGGCAGCCAATCACCGCGGCGTGTCGAGTCACATGATTATCAAAAGTCACGTGTTTAATAAAATGGCAGCCTACACAGCACTCGTCAGCAGTTTACAAGGAGGGATTATTGCACAAACCCTTTCTCAAATATATATTAAGTTTTCCGTATATCACATAAAAAAATTTCTGCACATGATTATAACAATGTTCAGAAAATAGAGGATAGATTTACGAAGTTACATGATGTTTACTGGTAAGCGCCATTTTGTTGGTCACGTACGTGACTCGTTTTATGTAGACTGGTCCCGGCGTCAAGCTTGCTCTGTTTGTGCTAAAGAACTGCTTGTGCTAGTACAAATACTGGGGCCGCGAACCCGTCTACGTTTCATGCAGGAACGCTATGATCTGATCGGCGATGTGCAGCGTAGTCACTTCAAGTCGACATGAGTGTTGCTACGCTGCTAATCGGCGCTAAAGTAGTCGCCGATAGTCAAATCGTAGGCCGACCTGAGCGGGCCTTAAGACTTACCTCATCTCACCTGCATGGCAACATGATGCCTTAACGATCTCACAACTTGCATTAATTATCTTGTTACTCACATATATAGTAGACAAGATCTACCATGATACACGCACACGGCAATGCAATACCGTAACGAATCCACCTGTTCACATTGTCTCGTTACACAGGTAAGAGATCTAGCCCAACACACGCAGAGTTCTAGCCAGGATTGAGAAATTAGGCGTCTCAAAGGACCGGAACATTCGTGTTCTAGCAAAGCGAGTGCCCGATTATTATCATTTTAATTTATTTACCGAAACATGCACGTAACTGTCGCCAGCCGTCAGCCAGTAAAATTCACTGTCTAATACAAAAAATGGCTGTCACAATTACGGGGGGAGACGGCTCGCCGGCTAATACTGTGCGTGCGGCAAGTGACCGTCCCGTCTCGCCGGTACCGCCCCTACACGCCGCCCCTCACCACCCGCTCTGTCTCCCTCCCAGCGCTGCCTCATCACCATGCCTCCCCCCACCCCACCCCCGCGCCTTGTCGCCCCCGCCCCGCCTCCTCTGCCTCGCCTCCGCCGCCCTGCCCCACCTCCCCACCCTGCCTTGCCTCACCAACCCTGCATCGCCTACCCCGCCCCGCCCCGCCCCGCATCGCCTCCCCCACCATGCATCGCCTCCCCCACCCCGCATCGCCTCCTCCAC